TCTTGCACAGTAACAGAGATAGACTCCCGGTCATTTGCATAAAGAGCAGAACGGGTTCCCTGCAAAATATTTTAAACTTCTGTTATCTCTATCGCAGACAAATCAACAGAATTTTATCTCTTTAAAGTTCAAGGTTGACCTGCAACATCCCAAACAAATAGTCACCACATGTGACTCCAGGTTCAAGCTCCCAATCATGACCAGGAGGCCTGTCACGCAAGACCTCAATAAAAGTAACGAAGAAGTTGTGTACACCTTCTCTCAGCTGCTGAATGTAACTGTGATCAGAAATAATTCATTAGACTCGGCAATTTAACTACAATAAGTACTGCAGAAAAATTAGCACACACTTACGCGTGCTGGTCAGTGCTTCCTTTGTTACCATATACAGTTAGCCCTTGATTAACCTGACATTGGAAATTTCTATGTTAAACAAAGAACAGTGATGAATATAAAATCCGAAAACTAGTAGTTCAAAAACATCAGGTACAGTAAATTGACTAGAATATGAAAGGCTCTTTACCCGGTTGCCATCCAGGTCAAATTCTTTCCCAAGAGATTCCATGACAAGTTGTTGCAAATATCTACTCAAAAGTAACAAACTATCCTTGTAAGGAAGTACAACCATATCCTGAAAGAGAGGAAAATACAAAACAATAAGGAAAGTAAGAACAACATTCATCAATAGAAGATGCTGCAATCAATGATGCTGGAAACCTTTTTGCCTATCCCTTCTGATGCCCAATACCAACATAATGCAAGCAATGCTGCTGGATTTTCTTTAACCTGTTAAAAAGATAAACATGTTTGACATGACACATTTTCAATAGATAATCATACCATCATTGTAAGTTGTCCGTGTTCTTAATAATGCCATACCACAGTGTTCCGGGTTTCCTCATCCATTAAAGCTGCACCAGCTAGCATTTCCTTGATATCAATACCCTGAAAACAACCCCTTTTTAGGAGTTAATTTGAAAGCGTGTGAATGAAATCAACATACAGGAAAAATGGGAAAGCACTGGCCTGCAATGCAGCTGGAAGTAAACCCACAGCTGACATTTCTGAAGTCCTACCACCAACCCAGTCAAACATAGGAAACCGAGCTAACCATCCCTCTATTCTGGCAGTGTTATCCAACAGAGATTTTTCTTGAGTAATTGCAACACCCTGCAAAGCAGACCGTGCTCTCAGATAACGAATTGCTCAGTCATATATCAAGGATGTGGAAACAGTGCATGAACTAAGTCACAGAAACCGATTGCCCTTGAACCAGTTGTGACAGAATTATACAAAACAAACAAGAACCTGAGGTCAAAACCTGTTTCGAGAATTGCAGCCCAGCATCTCTGAAGGCTTTCTGTACTTCCAGTAGACCATTGCGGGTTTCAGGCGTGCCTCCGCTCTATGCAAAATTGAACAATAAGTTCATGGTGCAGGTGGGAGAATATTGACAAAATAAGCAAGCTTGGGATCCTTATGTACCTTAGAAATGACAATTACAAGAGTAGTTGCCAGTTCAGGTCCTAGTTGAGCAATTTGATGATCAATCCCAGCAGGATCGGTGTTGTCAATAAATCTTATCTAGAAATCAAGCATAATAAGAGTTTAGGGTTATATCTTGCAACTGACAAGACATCTTAAATACAAACGATAGACAAATGCAATTTTCGTGCATTGCTCGGATTCTGACTTAGGGGCATACCTTCAATGGAGGGTTATCAGGTGCAAGTGCCTCAGCAACAAATTGGGGGCCCAAAGCTGACCCTCCGATTCCTATAGAGAGAATTGATGTGAAACGACCGGATGGGGATTGAATCTGCATTTACACGAAATACCATGTTATAAGACATCAGCACAAAAGAAATGTACCAAAAGACTCAATAAGATACATAGCATCTGTTGCACAGTGCACTTATCATGCCTGTTAGTACTTGCCCCTAAATGATGTACTCCTATATAAACAGAAACAGGCCATAAGGCTCAAGCAATACAATACATCGACAACATTGAACCGATTCTAGTTTCCTACAATTCCAAATCTTCAGTACAATGTTGGAAGATTATACACAGGTCTGCTCTAAGCTCTGTCGTGATGGCATATCCCAACATTTTGTAACACAGGGCTTGAGGACAACATATATCAAAAACAAAGAGACACTTGCAATCAACTTCTTTCAAAATCTCGTCCCCAAAATTGTTCCAGGTGCTTTGATTCAGTCATAAGCATATATGATATACATGTAAAACTGGCACCCCTTCCCCTGACAGACTAGACACTCCCTCCACTCGCCAAATCAACCCGAAAACGATTTTTTCTAATGGATGGAGCTGAAAATGGTAGAGTGGCACAGCATAGCAAGCATGCTATGCAATTCGAACTCTGCAGCAGAAGCAATTGCAAGTATGTAAGTAAGCAAATAGAAAAGGAAAATGTTGCAGCGACCTTGCCAGAGACGACATCTTGGGAGAAGGCGAGGATACTGTCGAGCGCGGTCTCGATCTTGTTGCGGAGGAAGGAGTTGGGCGCGAGGGCCGGGTCGCGGAGCCAGTAGTGGCCGACCATGCGACCCTCGTCCGGGTTGGCGATGGCGCCCTTCTCGAGCTCCCGCATGGCGGCGAAGGCCTGCTGCATCCGCGGCTCCATCTGCTGCAGGAAGTCCTCCGTGAACCCCATCCGGCTGACGTCGACGAAGAGGCCGAGCTCCTTGTGCTGGTAGAGCCACTCGACGTAGCGCTCCCAGAGCTTGATCGGGTCCTTCTCCACCGAGCGGACGACGCCACCGCTGCCGTTCTCCGGGCTGGAGCCACCGCCCAGCGGCTGGCCCGGGGTCGGGGCGGAATTGGAGGAGCTGGAGGAGCGGGAGAGGTCGGCGATGGAGTGGGGCGCGCGGAGGAGGCGGAGATGGGAGGGCCGGAGCAGGAGGTGCCGGCGCAGCCGCAGCCGGCACACAGCGGAAGATGGCGGCGCCGCCGCGCCGGAGATGGACGCCATCGCCGGCAGCGTCGGTCGTTGCAGCAGGGGATGGTGGTGGTGTCAGGCCCCTCCTCGCTTTGTTCGCCTCTCGGTCTCGGGCTCGGGCTCACGCGCCTCCAAAGCGAGGGTTTAGTTTTGTGGGGGGAGGAGTCCACGAGGTGGAGCTGGTGGCCTCGCTGGGCTTGGCTTTATTTGGGGGGAGGAAGACGAAGCCACGGAGGAAGAGATGTCCATGTCAGCTGGGTCACCTGGGTGCCCCACCCGTCAGCCACCCTCGGGTACGGGGCACCCCACTTGTCAGAAGTGGGCTGGGTATCACAACCGGGGGAAGAACCACCAGTTTCCGTGGGCGTCAGGCGGTCAGCACGTGCGACCGACCGACGGCGTAGGGGAAGTTGTAGTTGGGGAGGTGAGCTGGTGAGGTACGCTGTCGCCGGCCGGGGACTGAGGGAGGGAAAAATCTCAGCGGTGGAGACGGGAGATGCCGAGACGGCGAGAGCCGGTGGCTGGCTGCGCCTCCACGGATCGCTAGCGGGCCCGGGGATCTATTCGTGAAGGGTCAAGGGACGGGTGAATTACGGGACAAACGGCCGCACGAACCAAAAAGCGAGAGGAACTCGCGGAAAAGATATTTGCGCCTCGCGTTTGTGTTTTCTTGCGTCAGTTGCAGCTTCCTATTTTTCTGGAGAAGATTGGCTGCTCTCGGGCAGTCGGGCTCGTCGACGGCGACCCTAGCACTGGGATGGGGGGCAGCGAATACAGCAAACAACCTGTGGCTGACGGATTGTCACATGAGACCCTAGACTCGAAATGCTGGTTCCTCACGGTTCTCCTGTTGTCGAAACACGAAACTGGAAATGCTGGTCGCCGTCGAATTCTTGTGGTTTCTATTACTGTTCTCTGTTTGGTTCACTTGCGTTCGTTACAGCTTGGCAACCAAGACTCCTATTCCAGCAGTCCTTCTAGTGGGCCCACAGCCACAGACACCCGCCCTCCGCACTGTTTGTGTTGCAAACAAAAGCCTTTGCCCTTTGGAATGCCAGTAGTTTATGATGCATCTTGGCTGTCCAGCCGCGTCTCTAGTGGTCAGAGATCCTACACTTTGCCTTATGCAAACGCTAATGGCCAAGTAGGCTGAGCTACGGCTGATTGCCTCCTCCCTAATCTGGCGGGCTAACTGATCCCTTCCGTATTCCAAATGCTTCATGGCTCTCGGGGGGAAAAAAACAATTTCCTTTAACCTTAACTTACTGTAACCTCAAGAGTCGAACACCAAACCGTACTTATGTTACAGCTGAAACAGGAAAACTAGGCGTCCATTCCGTGGAGCAGCCTACTCATGGATTTTCTGTACCAGGGAGCATATTGCATTGACCGAACAGAACAGAACAACAAGAACAGAGCACCAACACTTTGTATATTCAGGGCCAGTTTGGATGCCAAAATTTTTGGCAAAACGTTACTGTAGCGTTTTCGTTGTTATTTAACAATTAGTATCCAATCATAGTCTAATTAGGCTTAAAAGATTCGTCTAAACTGTGTAATTAGTTTTATTTTTTATTTATATTTAATGCTTCATGCATGCGTCCAAAGATTCGATGTGACAGAAAATCTTAAAAAATTTGGCATTCTGGGGTGCAACTAAACAGGGCCTCAGAGAAAGGGCTGAGCCGCTGACAGCATAATTGGTTTGATGAGTGGCGGCGGAAACCAACATTTTCAGCACCAACCAGAACCGGGTGTCCGGGTCAGAGGAATACACAAAATTGATAGCCGCCTCAACGGGCCCGCAAAGCATGCAAAGAAAATCAAACATAACAGCACGTTATCGCAGCCCTGCACTTACCTAAATTAGTTGGAACCAACGCAAAGAGCACCGTGCCTACATGCCACAACACAACTACTACCTTTCGATTAGTAAAATTTGCAGGGGAAGTCCCAAAAATGTACTGATTATTCCAGAAAAAACACCTTCATTAAAAAAACTCAGTACCGGTTAACAGAACAGGACGATATGAGACGCTCAGTTGTCATGAGACCCTAAAATTTGCTTCTTGATGGAGCTGACTCTGGTGATAAGTTCATCACGGTTCTCCTGCACACACAAAAAAACATCAAAATATCACTACTGGAGGCATTAAACAGGCACCAATATTTCTAATGGAGCACAAGTAATCACCTTAAATATCAGATATCTCGATGTGAACCAAATTGTGAAGCCAAGACCAACAACTTCCATCACCTGAGGAACCTGCTCATCCAAAACAATGATCATTTTGTTCAGGGGTGTTATCCATCAATTTCCAGTCATTGGTCAAATCACACTAAGAACACTTTAGTTGGCTCAAACTATCAATGATCCCAATTTCATATGATGATACTTATCTACTGCTATTTCAAGTATTGGAAATATAATATAATATCACATGTGTAATCGGAAAAAAAAAAACATATGCAGCGAAGCAAGAGGTACTTACCAAAGGGACTGAATCAAGTGCAGAAACCACAATTGATGATATCCAAATTGCAACAACAGCAGATGTGCCATACACGAGAGCAGAGTATGATTTGTCAGAGTCCAACTGCAGAAAAATAGTACTTAGAAATTAGAATTACATGTACTAACTAACTGGCAAGCCATCGAAAACAGCATCCTTGCTTGATCCATATTGGATCAGGAATTACAAAATCAGTGGTTACTATTTGGTTCCCATCGGTAACCAACCAGGTTGGCCTGGACCAGTAAATTCGATCTGATAAATTTTAAATTCGAATTTCGAATTTTGGTTTGAAGTATTTGAGAAAAATTGTACCTTTCTTTTACTCAAACTAATTGAAGTATGTTAGAATAATAAAACTAATAATAGTCTGCACAACCAACAACCTTTGTCATACTTAACACCCTACAAATAACAAGATTTGCTGTGTTGGAAATCTATTACCAAAGTCACATGTCTAGACTAATATTTAGGCATTTCCAATATTTATTCTATCTACAATATGATATACTAATAAACTAATCATGGTTTCTTGTTCAATGTCAATGATAACCATCAGAATACATGAAAATGTCAGCAGGCTACCAGACAGTAACCAATCTTGAATTTGATTTTGGCCAATATAAAACTGGTTACAAGTTTTGCAGCGGTTGGAAAAAATATGTACTGTTCATTGATAGAGATCGGATGGTGGGAAAATGGCAAGTGCTAAGGGAAAGGTACCCGGAAGTACCAAATAGGTAGGTATAGTACCAAAATGCGTGAGACCAGTACCATTTATTTTTCTGGTATTTTTCTGATTTTCTTAAAAACTAAAGGATAGCTAGGTAATTTCACACCTCGTCTTTCAACATTAGATCTATCGCGCCCTGGCCAACCAATTTCGTCGACTCCCTCCTCCATTCCCAGCCATCAATTAGAAAAATTATAAATAGGACACGGTGGGATCCGAGGTGCTCTCAACGTTGCTCATGCCTGCCATGCGCTACCTCTAGAACACGCTGGTGGCCGCGGTGATCGACCGGTACATCAAAATCTCCACGCCATCCCAGGCCTTCTTCAACCCGTCAGGCCGTCACTGAACAGCATACTCATGCCGATGCTCAACAGCTCAAGTTCCTGCTGTCCACAAGGTCACCACTCATGCTCAACGTGTACCTGTACTATGACTAAGACTCTACGAGTACACGCACTCCAATGGCGTGATCCCGCTGGACCACGTGTTGTTCCGGCCGTTACAGCAGAACAAGAAGGTCGTGAACACCAACACCCTGCTGCACTACACCAATGTCTTTAATGCGGTCGTGTATGCCGCCTGCTTTGCAATGGCACATCTCAATGTCACAAACTCCGGCAGCTAGTGACGACAGTGTTATGGCGGCCGGAGCTGCATAGCTGAGTGAGTCGGCAGCTACACTCCACCAAGTTGTAGCAGAGCTAGAGCAAATCCAACAGGGTGCGCTTGGCTTTATGGGTGCAAGAATTTGTGGCATGGCGGTGCAAATATGGTGAAAATTTAGTTGTTTCTATTGTTCTTCTATTTTTGCGTGGATGCGGAATATAGATCAGCCCCTGCCACCAGGCAGTCGACTGATGGAGGCCTAATCCGAAGAACGTAGATCAGTCTGCCGCGGTGGGGCATAGGAGCCCAGTGGGATTGGATCAGTAGAGTGGGGCGCAGGGCCTCCAGCCTCCTTTGGTACAGGCTCTGGCATAACAGAACGACAGACCGCCACACGCGAGAGCTTATTAGGAACGTATGTTAGGGAAATTGACACAGTACCTTGAGTCCATAAATCTAATTTTACTAGTCTGTTTTCTTAAAATTAGAAGTACCTAGCTAGAAGTGATGGTACTTTCCAGCCACCGTAACAAAGCTCAAAACTGGTAACCAGTAACCGACCGGTTTTTGGCAGGTGGCCTAGGTCCATGTTTTTCATATTTCTGATTTCTGCAACCTTGGATGGGATATGCTTTAAGGAAATTCATATAGGTTGGCATTTTAAGAAGGAAAAAGTGATGACATACCATAGGAAGATATTCACCCAAGTATTTTAACTTTCTAACATCCTGAGATTTGGGCACACTGTATTACTATTTAAAGTTGCTGCACTTAGGTTTCTTACCATTCCATCCAATTTCACATTCCCCTCCATTTTTTCATAACAGGGCAATTCCTAGAATTCCATTAATTTTTCATGAAGAAATTACAAATGTCTACCAAAAAATATGAAAGTAAACTGCAAGAAGTAAAAAAACATAACAAAGTAAAGCAGTAACCAAGGTCTGGTAAGTATTCAGTACGAAAACTTCAAACTACAAGTAACCACCAGCCAGTTTTGATAACTGGATGATTGGAAAAGTCATAGTCCCGGGAAACACATGCAACTATCATTTCCCTCTGTTAATTGGATGATTGGATCTGGTTTTGGGATCTATTGCAGTGCTTTGAAGACCAAAAGGAGGAGATTGTCAAGGCATTTCAGCTACTGGAGTCAAGAGCCATGGAGTTCTTCATTGCTCATGGATGGCCTTTAATTTTCTGTATTATAGATAGTAATGCCAAACTTTTTGCTGCTGAGACCTAGTTTATTCTTGTAACAATCGTGGTTTGATGCACCTTCATGGAAGGGGTTTGGAGTCAAATATTTTTTTTTCCATTATCTAAAACAGAAATTGTGACTACGTTGCACAACCCCTCTAGTGTCAAGGTGGGTTTTCTCAATACCCACCCCTTATCAAGTTACCAATGAGTGATACTGTAATTAATCTGCAGGAGCTGCAGTTTATATTAACTGAGAAGACACCGACTACACACTTTCCCTTTTGATACCAGCTATCAAAAACCATAATTGAATAATTGTAATGAAAGCATCAGGAATTCTTCTAAACCTATGATTCAGGAATTATTTACAATGTCTCATAAAGAAGATTTCCACACCCCCCCAACACACACAACAACAAAAACAAAAACATGTACTTCGGTGCCTTTTCTTGGGAGGTTGCATGTAGGGTTTCTAATATGAACAAAGAAAGTGGGTACACTAAAATAAAGCATCAGTTCTGCTGTACTCCCTAAATCCCAAAATATAAGGATATCTATAAATCTTAGAACAAATTAAACAGTAGGGAGAACCGAGCGGGGGCTCGGTTGGTCAGCTGAGCAGGGGCTCAGGCTGCCCGCCCGTGGTTCGAGCGCTGGCTCCTGCGCGGCGCCTCACCTTTCTTCTTAAGAGTATCCGGGAGACTCCCCTGTGTGTTAAAAAAAAACAGTAGGGGAAAAGTCCATCATGCCCCCTCATTAAACAGCCAGGCTAGCTCCTGACTGGCTTAATTTTCTGCCACGCCAGCTGCTGATTGATCTTGTGGGGTTGAGCTTGGTGGTTTCTCCAAAATCATTATATTTTGAGACAAAATTTTGAACAGTATAAATCCTAATATTTTGTGACAATAGGAGTAATTTTATAGAGCAAAACAGTGAACAAAATATTTAACCTTATCAATAAAACATCGTCCATTCTCTAACAATGTCATTAAATAAAAAAAACTCCTACATGGCTACATCTCAGTGCCAACCTTATTTGCCAAAATAAACACTCCCAAGAAATTTATCAGCCTGATGTAACACTGGTCACGGTGATAGGTGGCTTGTGTGCTCTCTGTTTGCGGAATGAATCAGCTGCAGGTTTGCAATCATTTGAATACTGGCGTGATATGCTCTCTGTTTTCGGAACAAATCAGCCGCAGGTTTGCAATCATTTGAATACTGGCGTGATATCAACAAACCTTCTATGAATCAACGTGCTAAATGAAGAGAGCGAGTAGTTTCCTCTTGTTTCAGTAGCAAAATGTTGAGCACAAAAAAACATTTTCACCTCAATCCAACACACCCATTTCAAAACGACAACACGACAAGCTTAAAAGCAATCGGATTCGCGCGCTCACCTCGACGCCGATCTGGTTGAGCACACCCCACGAGGCCGGCTCGCCCTGCACCTCCACCTCCTCCTCCTCCTCCTCCGCGCTACTCGCCTCCCTCCCAAAACCCTCCCACCCGTCCCGCTTCGCAGGCGCCTGTGCAGGTGCAGCGGGCTTCTCCGACAGCAGGCCCCCGAAGTCGTCGGAGTCCTTCGCCCGCACGGCGAGCGAGGCCCCGCCGCGGCCGCCTAAACCTTAGGGGTGCAAGAGCGGAACTAGGGTTTTAGCTCTGTTGGCGTCGCAGCATTTCGCGGGATCCGAAGAATAGTGGGAGCGGGGCGGCGAAACGTACCTTGCTTGAGCTGCTGCTTTGGTTGCGAGATCGGCGATGGTCGCGGAGGGAGGACGCGCATGAGCGCGGCGCGGGCGGTGAGAGCCATGCGCTGCAAGTGTACGCCAACTTTTTTTTTCTCCCCTCGTTCTGCTTTGCTCGGGCGAAGCAGAGAGGGTGGCGGCTGGGCGAGGTTTTGGGGAGCTGGCGGCGCCGCTTCGTCGCGCTGCCTACCCTACCACTGTACCGCACTCGCTCTGTATACTGCACTGCAGCGCCGCGTGTACCGGGACGTTTGGTTCGGTGCGCAGCGAGGCAGGCGCTTCGACCTTCGAGAGCTCGAGTGGGGTGCGGGTGCGGCAGGCGAGTGTTCTGTCTGTGCGTCCGCGCGGCGTGCGGTGTGGTGTGTTCTCTTGGGCCGTCCGAGTCTGGATTCTGGAGTCTCCAAGAGGTGGTAACCACAAGTTTGGGCCTCCGACAGGCGGTAACGCAGGTTTGGGCCCCTCTTTGCCTGACACGGATGATGATGATGCCGAATGCACGGGAAACTGGTCGCATTTTCTCATCTGCCGGCAAGATCTCTCCTTCGAGCTACGGGAGAACTTCTCGCCCAACTGGTAGCATATTAGGCCCAACTTCTATTTTGAAGTGACGAAGCCCCAGCCACGTGATTATTAGGGTCTCCTTTGCGTAACAAGTTTGTGTAATTTTTGGAATTGAATTCATTCTATTAATTATAATTTAGACACAAATTAATCAAGCTAGTATGATTCTATATGAAATATATTTGTATATTATTATTAGCAATATAAGAGATACGCTTATGTTGCCTTTCTACTATAGGAAAACGAGTATGGAATATATTTGTATATTATTGTTAGCCATACAAGGGAGATACGTATATATTGCCTTTCTACTGTAGAAAAGCGAGTCGAAGAGCGAGCTATAAGTTAAAGAGTAGAAATGGTGATCTACAGAACCAATTTTTATCTCCCACACTATGAATTTGACATATGCTTATATGCTAGATATTCAAACAAATTTCAAGTACAGTTTAATCCAGAGCTAGCTTGTAGAGAAAATATTGTAACATGAGTACGTACTTTAATACTTTATTATTAATGGTGTGTGAGGCGTTGGACTGTTAAAAACAAATGTGCAAGATCGCGTGTGTGCTCTAGACAAGTTATTGGGGGAAGTAAATAATCTTTTTCTATGTTTTTATACGAGGTGGACAAAATAGAATGGATGCACTAGCTATACTGTCGTAGAAGCTATGAATATGTAATTTGAAATGTAGCGAGTATTAATATTTATGTCTCTAACTAGACTTACTATTTCATAGCTAATCTAATGCTATTTATCTTGTATCATAAATGTTAGTACTTTTTATATAAATTTGATTAAATTTCAAATCGTTTGATTGCATCTTTTGTTGACTATGAGTACCACATAATAATAAGAATAAATTTTCTATAGACATAGCCTTAGCCTTGCTCCTATAAGAAACGAAAATGATTCACAATGCCAAAACAGGCCTTTAGTATTGCTAGTGTATCTAGCTACCAACTGTAATAGATACTCCCTTTTTGTTTTAGACTGTAAGACGTTTTGACTTTTTTAGATATATTATTTTTATTATATATTTAAATATAGTGTATATCTAAATGCATATAAAAATCTATAGGTTTATTTGACATGTTTTTGTTGTTGGCTGCGATTGCAACTACATCTCACAGAATATTGTGCTAGTATTAACCGCAGGCCTGCAGCGAATAAGCTGTGAAAAGTCTTCTTATAATTAGAAATGCACTAGAAACCACGCGGCGTTGCCGCACACTTGACTGTACTGGGCCATCCTACCATGCCTGAGTCTATATGGAGACAAATCAAGCTCCTTTGGTTTGAGTATGAGCATTGAATATTGAGTTAAATGCACCAGCAGCTCTTGAACTTATAAGCATATGTCACGTAGGTTCATAAACTTTGAAAATACATTTCTGGGTTTTTAAACTTGTTAAGTGGTACACGCAGACCCATGTCAGCCATGTAGACATTTTTTTCTATTCTGGCGTGCCTGTGTGGCATATATTTTTTATTTAAGCCCTCACATTTATTTTCCTCCTAAAAAATAGACCCTTACTCCTCTCATCCCCCATGGTAGCCGCATGTGGGATGCAGTCCGCGTGGAACCCGTCGAGGGCAGCGCGGGAGCCACTCCATCTGCCGCGCTGGCGCTCTGGCTGCTCCTCCTCTTCTACCTCCTCGGGGACATCGCGGGCATCATGCTCGTGCCGCCAGGAAACAGCGCGCCCGATGTGCTCTCCAGGGTCGTGGTCGTGCCAGGTACATGTGCCGCTGGAGCGCGTCGAGGGCGAGGCGGGCGAGGCTCCTCTTCCGTGGCAGTACGGTGGCCTCGGCAGTGTGATTCGATGAGATCGGGAGTACTGGCGGAGGTGCCTCGTCGTCGTCGTGGCCGCCGCCTTCGAGGAGAGGGGCGGCGAGGTTCGGACCCGCGTCGACGATGCGTGTGGCTCAGCCGCGCGCTCATGGTGGAGGATGGACGGACGTCGTACGCGCCCGTGCCCATACGTACGGCGGCGACTAGATGCATGCTGCCGGCCGGGAGGACGTGCTCATACAGTGTCCATCTCTGAATGTTCTTGAGCAAATGCGCCCTAAATTACCAACCAAAATTATCCCTACCGTTTTCAGGTACATGCATATTTCGTTGCGTGGCTCAAAGGAATTCAGAACGTATCACCAACAAAATCCAGAACACATCTTTCGTTGCGCCGTCGTCGTTCTCGACCATGAGCACCCAGCTCTCGCCGCCGAACCTCCCGGCCTCGACGCACCAGAGTAGCACGCCTCTCTTCTTGCTCAGCAGGCCTCGCACCTCCAGCCCCGTGAAGGAGTACAGCACGTCGAAGGACCCCACGAAGACCCTCGCGCCGACGCCAAATGTCTCCTATTCTTCCTCCTCGTCGAAGCTCCACGCCGGGTTCAACAGTACCACCGGCTTGGGTTCCAGACTTCCAACGTCTACTCCACCTGCGTTGGCCCCGTGGCCAGGAACACCGCGGCACCACTGAACCCAGACGCGCAAGCGCCGTCGCCGAGTCTCCCTGGTTCTGGAACTCGCTCAGGGCCACGGACACTCGGACATCGCCTCAGCCGAGGGCCAGACGACCCGGTGACAGGAGCATGACGCCCGCGATGTCCCTGATGAGGTAGAAGAGGAGCAGCCAGAGCGCCAGCGCGGCGGTGTGCGCGGCAGATGGAGCGGCTCCTGCGCTGCCCCCGACGGGTTCCACGGGGAGTGCATCCACATGCCGCTACCATGGGAGATGACAGGAAGAGGAGTAAGGGTCTATTTTTTAGGAGGAAAATAAATGCGAGGGCTTAAATAAAAAATATATGACATACAAGCACGCCACGTCAGCAAAAAAATGTCTACTTTAACACCTCGGTGTTAAGCATGTATTAACATTTTGCAAATCATGATCATAATCATTATTATGCATTCATAAGCATGACATAAAATATAGAATTAAAATATATTAATGAAACATGTATGTGTATAGTCTTATTTTAATAGATTGGATGCTATATTTGTTTTGCCATGTGTGTACCTTGGTTGATCACTTAGACCACTTAGAAGTAATTAGAATGCATTTTGAAGTAAAGTTTATATTCAAAATTTTGCCAAATTATGCTTTTAAAAACAATTCTTCAAAAATTGGGTTTTGAATTAATATTGATTTTAATTCTGTAATTCAAAATCTATTTGGAATTTTACTTTGGTCATAAAAGCAAAGTTGTAGATCTTAAAAAATGGAACAAATTTCATTTTTACACCAATTTGTGAAAATGCTTTTAAATGGCTCAAAATGGAATTTGAGTTCTGTTTATTTGAGAAATAAAAAGAAAATTATTTCATTTTCGCTTAACAGGCCGCCGCCTCCCTTCTGGCTCGCTTGTGGACTCGGCCCGCAGCGCCGCGCGCTTCGCCCTGGCCCAGCAGCCGCTTTGCCGGCCCAGGCCCACGCCGCGCCTCTCGCTCGCCCGCACTCGCGCGCCTACGTCCTGACGCCGGCAGAAGCTTACCGCCGCGTGGCGCCACCCGTCGCCGGACTCCTGACCGCGCGGCCACGCGCCGCGACCGTCCTGGCACTGCTCGCCACGACTTGAACCCCCACGCGCCCGCCCCATCCCAGCGCCTCATTCGGTTCCCTACTCCTCCCTTCGCCTTCGCAGCAACGCAGCAGCCGCAGCAGACCACCGCTGTGTCGCCATCGGCATTGCCCGCACCAGCTCGCCCGCATTGATCGTTCGCCATCACAGCCGCTCCACCGCCTCACCTCACCGGCTTTTGCTCGCTAAAGTAGCCCGGCGAGCCGTCGTGCCCCGTGCGGACCTCGCCGATCTTTCACCGCCGTGGTACGTCGCCGTGGCCCGATCACCTCAGACCACCACGTTTCTTGATAGAGTGCGCAATAGGTTCGCAGTAGCTCATGGAAGCATGGCCGAGCCCTAGATTGGGTCATCACGGTTGCCTCCGGCATCTCACCGTCGTCCCGCACCGCCACTACGCCATGGCCGCCGTCGTGGTCGCTAGCTTCGATCATAAGCCCAATTAGTTAGCTCAATGTGTTCAGGATGTAGTAGCCATGCTTGTAGTATAACCGCCGTCGCTGGAGAAGCCGCCGTCGGCGAGCTTCACCGTTGCCGCGCCGTCGCGAGCCGCCTCCTCTGTTCTGTCTCGCTGACGCGTGGAGCCGGCTGACCGCTGGGTCCCACCTGTCAGTGCTGACGGTGCGAATAGGTCCAGGTGCACAGCACCGGGTGCACCTAGCGTTTTGTTTCAGATCTGTGTACAGCGCCGGGTACGCGTAGCCGTTAGGGTTTGATTTTGTTTTCGAAATGATTTTTCAGATTTGGTTTAAAGCTTGGAAAAACCATATCTTGGTCATTTTTGGTCCAAGTCGAAAGAAACAAATTTTGTGGTGTTTCTTGTCACTAGATCTACTAGATAAAAATATTGCATGTCAGTTTTGAGATCCTTTAATGTAGAGCTTTATTTAATTGTCGATATTGCTGATATCT